CTCCCTAATGAACATAGATGCAAATATTATCAATAAGAGACTGGCAAACAGAATGCAGCAGATCATGAAGAAGATGATACATCATGACCAAGTAGGATTCATCCCATGGATTCAGGAATGGTTCTACATATGCAAATCAATAAATGTAATACACCACATCAACAATCCAAGACAAAATCACATGGGTCATTTCAATAGATGCAGAAATAGCATCTGAAAAATTTCAGCACACATTCATGATAAAAATGCTACAGAAAATTAGAAAGGATGGGTCTTTATCTCAATCTGATAAAAGCCATCTATGACAAACAGCCAACATCATGCTAAACGGACAGAAACTAAAAGACCCATATCTTTCACTCTATGCTAAACTAAAACCAAAGTGAATCAAAAATCTAAATATTAAAATAGAAACACTAAATCTGCTGGGAAAGAGAATAGGTAGAACTCTTGAAGACATTGGTGCAGGAGAAGACTTTATGAACAAAACCCCAATTACATAGAAAATATTGCAAAAAATCAACAACTGGGATCTCATCTTATTAAAAAGCTTTTGCACGGCAAAAGAAACCACCAACAGAATGAAGAGACAACCCACAGGAAAAAATTTTTGGCAGCTGTTCCTTAGACAAAAGACTAATACCTAGAATATATAAAGAAGTCAAAAAAATCAGATTCCCCCCAACTTAACGATTCAATCCATATTCTGATATGAATACACACTTCTCAGATGAAGAAGTAGAAAAGACAAATATGTGAAAAAATGTTCAACATCACTGGTCATCTGAGAGACGCAAATTCAAGCAACACTGAGATTCCATCTCACACCAGAAGGAATGGCTATTATCAAGAAATCAACCAATAACAAATGCTGGTGGGGCTGTGGGGAAAAAGGAACACTGCTCCACTATTGGTGGGAGTGTAGACTAGTGCAACCACTCTGGAAGTCAATGTGGAGATTCCTGAAACAACTAGGATTAGATGTCCCATTTGACCCAGCTATTTCCCTTCTAAAATGGAGAAAAAGTAAGGACATGTTGGCTCTGTGCTCATTAGCTTACTAGTCTTTATTTTTATTTTCTTAGTTTCCTCTTCTTTGGACAAAAGTATTAAATTTCATGAGCTCTGAAGACCCTTTTGCACTCCAAAATCTTTCTCAGAGCTTCGTGTGACTTTACATAAAAGTTTCCTAGGTTTAGGATTAATTGCCAACCTTAGGATTCCCTGTGCAGACTGCCATGCCAGGCGGTATAGACAGGGTAGACAACACAAGTAGTGAAAAGAGTTTACCAATAGACAAGGACAACAGGAAAGGCAGGAGCTTATTTAGACACTGAATACACTATCAAGTGGGACAGCAAGCCAGTTCTAGAGAGGAATTGCACACTCGGGGAAAAATTGAGGTGTTTATACAGAGATGGAGAGGTGGGAAAAGGTCTGAGCTGGTAAATGTACACAACTTAGAAATGCATTTTTCAGGGGATCCTGTTTTTAATCTTTCAGGAATACCTGCATTGTATCTAAGGCTGTACATCAAAGTATCAAATTGTCAAGGCCTCCGGCTTAGGCCTCAGAAAGGCTCTTTATATTTAAACAAGAGTATCTGTATGTTTTAACCTTTTGGGGAGATGTATAACACTAGCTCAGGAGAGGAAAAGATTATTTGTGTATTTACCTTTATCTTGAGCTGTTTTTAGCACTCATTACTAGAGTGTCTCCTGCATGTCCAGTATGTCCTCGCAAAATTGTGTTATCAAAAAGGTTGGGTGCTGAGAAATTTAACCTTTTGTCATCACACAGTTTAGCCCTCATTTGGTGTGTTCTTTACCTCAGTGAGTACTGCAAGGGGCAAATATGCCCAGCTTCGACACCTTCTAAGCAGAGAACTTCCCAATAATATCTAAAAGACGAATAAGTACATATCTGAACATTTGACTTAGCAGTAAGGAATGTTAGGGGTAAAAACAGCCCTACCTTCTGGAACATCAGAGACAGCTAAGCAGTTTTGTCTGCTTTTGATTAATTAAAAGCCCAGTATTTCATCACAGACATTTTTATGAAGATATAATGATTATTGAGCATAAACACATGTGATCTAAAATTAACTCTCCCTCTTCCATTTTTTTAAACTTTGCATTGTCCAATATCTCTAACACTGTAGATGAGGAATTTAACCCCAAAGGCCAGCGTTGAAAGGGTGTAGGATGGCCTCTGATGACTGACAGGTTACAGTCCACAGACACGGTTAATACGCATTCAGTCCCTTTGATTTTTGTTTCCCCCTGTGAACGCAGGGAGCTGGAGCCAGCCTAGTCACCCCAGGGAGTCTGTAGTACTGATGGGGAGACAAAGTAAGGATATGTTGACTCCATAGTCATTAGCTTACTGGTCTTTATTTTTCAACTTTTGTTTATTTTCTGATAACATGACCATAATCCCAAGTGTCACTTAACTATAGTTCAAAGTGTCAGAAACAGCCAGGTGTTTCATATAACTTTCAAGCTCTGCTAATCTATAGATTAGTGGTTCTCAACCTTGGAATCACCTGGGGACTGTTAACACATGGTGATATTGTTGCCTGCCAGGTAGGCAGGGAGCAGCGAATTACACACACACACACACACACACACACACACACACACACACACATAATGTGCCTCCAGGACTGAGAGCACCAGCGCTAGAGCATGCATCTGCAGTTCAACTTTTGAAAACATGCTTTGTTCACTTATGACATTGCCCAATTGAAATACCTTAGGAACATTCTTTGGGTTTTCTAAGATTATTGGATATTGGTATCGTGATATCTAAGGTGTTCACTTTCTAATACTTGGTAGGTATAAGCCACTTAACTTCAGTAAAAATTACAGCTCCATGCCCCCATGTGGCTAATTAATGATATTGCACCTTATCGGAACAAAATCAGGTAATACCTCACCAGACCTTTCCCAGATACACATGGCCACATCATTAATTAAGAAGGCTGAAAATATGCAGGGAGAGACACCTGCATAGATGTCTAAATGAATTGTTAATTTAGGGTACATTAGATTACTTTGAGCCCTGTGTTGACATTAATGCAGACTAGTTGCAACTCCAGCACAATTGGGTGGCCCCTTTGGCCTTGAGAGGGTTGTATATTCCAGGTCTATACACACAAACAAGGTATGAGTCCTTATTTCACCTCAAACCTTCTGAGACACCCAGGTTTCATCATCACAGGATGATGTCAAGTACCTTACCGCATATCTCTATTTGTGTAGGGAAAGAGTAACAATAAATGATATTAGAACAGCACCACGTGTGGAGCACTTGCCATAGGCAGGGCCTTGTTGTATGACCTACATGTCTCATGTCGTTGACTCCTCTCAGCAACCCCAGGGACAGGTGCTATAGCCATTTTACTGTTGAAGGAATAGATGTGTTGCCCAACCTATAAGATACTAAGTGACCATCCTGAGATTCAAATCCTGATCACCTGAGTGTACCAGCACCCGTACTGCTTCCTATCCTGCTGTACATTTCAGTGTCAGTGGGATCTTCAAGTCTTTTAAATAACATTAATCTTGATTCTCCATCTTCTGGTAATTCTACAAGGGAACAAAAAATTGTGAAGACCTTTTCATGTAAAAGATGGCTCAGCGGAGCATCTTCTTGGAGCCTGCAGATGGCTCTGAGGTGTTCTCAGCAGAACTTCTGATAGCAGGCATGTCCCATGTCACTCACCCTCTCAACGGCCAGCTGGGCCCCGTAAGTGCCTGGTCTGCACATAGCATTCTGGGAGACCCAAAGCAAGTGTGTTTCCTTCTCTTGCTCTCACTTTCCTTGTCTATAATAGACATGGAACTAAAACTATGCCCGTTCTATGATCCAATTGAAATAGAGCCTACAAATTGGTGAAGGAGGTCTGTCCTACCTCAAAACTGTCAAATTGCTTAATCACAACAACTTGGGAAATTCGACTGAGCATGCAAAAGTAGAAAGGCAAAGATGGGCCAGCTCTTGTGCCTCGTGGCCCAGCTCTGCCACCATTGCTAGCTTCTTAAAGCAAAGTTCAGCTGTAAATTGTGGAAGGTGGTATCTTTATCTGTTTTATATTCGGAGCACTTCACACAAGGCCTAACTAACAGTAGGTCCTCTATGAATAGAGAGGAAGAAGGGAAGGGGAGGTGGATGGGAGGGCAGACGGAAAAAAGGCTAGAAAGATGGATGGGAGAGATATAGATGGATGGTAGGATAGATAGATGTGATTGTGTCAGCTGTGTATTTTGTGGTGAAAAACTGAAGCCTTAGCCAACTTGGACTGTGCTGACTGTACGAAATGCTGGATTCCTGCATGGAAAGGCGACACAGGATCCAGATCCACTAAGTTTGTTGTACCTAAGGACAGTTGAATAACATCCCTCTATTCTAGCTTGGTCATTCATCCATTCCATTGAAATGGGGACTGTCAGGCAATGCCATCTGCTGAATGTTTCTGTGCCTCCTTGTCCTGCTTGTCTTAACGCTTCTGTCTTCTAACCTTTACCCTATCTCCATTTCTTGGCCCCATGCAACACAGCTGTGCTCTCTGTTGAGACAGAGATGGTCAGAGGTGATGAAGACCAGCATTGCCTGAGCTCGGGGATATGTGTAGAAATGAACCTTGGCCATTTGAGGGCACCGTAAATAATGCCAGGTTTACAGAGCCTGCCTTCTGGAAAGGCACTGATACAAGCACCATGGTTCCCATTTCCACACATGAAAGGCACTGATAACAAGGATATTTGTCACATGTTTACACAGTTGAGACGCTAAGTAGGAACAGCGAGTCCAGAGAGAACCTGGAGTCCCTTGACCCTCCTCCCTGACCCAGGGCGTGCTGTTAGGGACCTAAGAAGTAGAGTATTCTCAACATTTAATCTCTTACCCCACCCCAGGGCAGCCCTTCCTGATGCCTTCTCTCTGGGTCTGGGTTTCCTCCAGTTCCCTGACAGAACTGAGCCCGTCTCCTTTCCCAGGGCACGAGGAGAAGTCTGAGAACGTGGGAAAAGCTGGGACTTGCTGTGCCACATGCAAGGAATTCCACCAGATGAAGCAGACGGTGCTGCAGCTAAAGCAGAAGGTACTGCTGAGCACGTGGGAGTGGTGACGGGTAACAAAAGGAGGACTTGGCTGAAGTGTAGGAAAGTTTAAGGTCAATGTAAAAATAAATTATCTGTATTGAGCATTCACTGTGGTTGATGACAACTGGGTCTGGACTCAGCTCACTTTCCCACTCCTGAGCTGGCCATCTAAAAGGCAACCAAATGCAGTGATGGAAAAGAATTGAGGAAGTGGTTATCAAAATAGACCCTGGGAAGGGGCACAAAGAGAGGGTAACACTATGACTAGTGCAATTTCTTGAGAAATGAATGTACAGCCTTATGGAACCCAGGGCAGACCTGGGTTTTATTTTATCTGTGCTCTATCAATAGAGAGCACCCTCTTTCTAAACTTCTGTAGACTTAGGACCTTCTGCAGTAACTTCAGTTTCACATTTAAAAATTACACTCTGCACTTTGGGCTACGTGCAGGTAGGGAAGCTCCCATGTGGGTACCTCGAGTTACCAAGGGTGAGGACTGACTTGCTCTACGAAAGGTTCCATGGGTGCCTTGTGGGATTCCAGTTCTCTAGTCACATCATCATGCTGTGGTAAAGGATCCTGTGATGGATCTGGTGACCTTACTTCTTGAACGACCTCCTGGGTCCAGATAGCCGGTCTTTATAGACCTGTCAGTCCATTTGCTAACTTGTCAGCAACTCTGGAATTGCTCTTACACTGATGAAACATAAACTCACTGGTTTGTTTTTTTAATTGCTTCAACTCAAGTCTCTTAGTAGATCAAAGAGGTGTGTATAATCTGTTTAACTTTGGTGACCAGTTTTTCTAAAGGGCAAAAGGGTAAACATGAGAAAAAAAATCTCTTTTCCATGTCCAACAAACTAGCAGCTGGCCCTAATGAGAACCACAGCTACCTGTTAAGCAAAACAACAGATTAAAAAGAAAAGTATCTTTGCAGGGCTCCCGTGCCTTGTTGGTGAAGACATCAACTTTAGTAGAGGCATGTATATGTGTACTGTATAAATATGGGTAAAATATGGATATGACCCTAAATAGCTTGTGATCCCATTGAGAGTTCAGGCAGAAAACTTTGTATTATATGCTAGTAAAAACACAGGGACATATAAATAAATATATCTCACATAAATATCTCCAGGTTAAGTTTGAATTAGTGCTGTTATTTATTGTGTGAACCCAGAAGAGAGTACATGAGAAATTTTCATATTCTAAAGGTTCAAGGCATAGAGACGGCAGGTGATCACTGTCTCAAGGCATAAAGCTAGGTTACCTTCACTTTTCTTTTCTGGAAGTAACTCACAAGCTGTAGGGAAATTCTAGTTGGAGTGATCTTTAGGAAGAGTGGAGTTAAATATCACAAGTTGTTCAGAAATTCATTTGCTAAGTTTAGCTTTCCCTTAACTTCTGTGTGAAACTTTATGATCCATCAAAGAAGAAATATTAAAAAGAAATCTAAAAGCTTGCCTCAGAACACCTTCAAAAATCTTGCTGTAGAACTACATAAAAATCCCCGAGGTCATATTAGTGCTCTAATAATGCTCATACAGGTGGGCTGGACTAGAATTGTTCTCTGCCTTACACCAAATTCTCCCTACACATGCATCATGACAATTCTGAGTTAATACTGACATTCATGGAATGGTATGAGGAGCAATTCATTTTTAAATGTACGCATTGGAATGTGTTGTGTTTTACAGTTCATAAAAATGTTTTATAACCAGAGTCTCACTTAATTGTTACCACAACCCTGTAAGAAAGATGGCTTATAGTCTCAGGGAGGTAAAGTAAGTGCCCAAAAGGCAAGACCTAATACCAGCTCTTCTCACTTCTCCTGTGCTGGTGCTTGGGTCATCAGTTGGTTTTAACATCAGCTTGGTGCTGGCAGTGCCATCTGTTCTGTTCCCAAAAAAATAGGACAGCTGCCCAAATAAACACTGGCCAGAAGTAAGTACCGGGTGTCCTGGACAGTGGCCAACCCCCCAATATTAAATGGTGTGTGAACATGTTGAACTGCACCGTGAGTGTACAGTCAGCAGAATTCCAACTGTGGGAAACACTCCCCATTAAATGATATGGGTTCTTCAAGGGATAAATTATAAAGAAAAGACAGGTGAAGTAGAAGTAAGGAACATACAGAAATAAGGAACTTAAAAAATATACTAGATGAGTAAGGCTAAACCGTAGTGTTTAGGTGTGCATTATTGGGTGGTAAATTATTTTTTAAAATGCAAGAAGTAATATAAATCAGGATCGTGATTAATTCTGGGGGTGAAGGGAAAAAACTGGGATGAGCACAGGAAAAGGAAATCTGGAGTGACTGGCAAAATTCTGGTTGTTAACTTGAGCAATCTTAAAGGGGTGTTTGACTTCTGATGATTTACTGAAATACATTTGTTTACTGAGGTTTCCACATTCTATGCTTTATTTTCTGATAAAATGTTTTTTAAATGGAATGTAGAACCCAGTGCATCTACCTCTTCCATTTTTTTTCTGTGATATTGAAAGAAAACAGATGATTCAGTAAGGGAACTTGGGGATAGTTAAAATATCTGTTATTTAACTTTGAATGAGTCTGAGTTTTGTTGACCACCGAATTCAAATAAGAGTTAAGGAGCTTGTTGAATCATTTTTAAAGTCACTTATGTTCCTGCAGCAGAGATTGAGTGGGTGGCTTTAGAGTCTCAAGGGAGGACAACCCTAAATAGGTATGACCCTCCCTGCAAGCCTGGATTTGGTGGGTTCTAGACTGACCAAATGTTTGACTTGCTCAGTCTCCCTTGATGGCTGCTTGGGGAGCTGGGGGTCTCTTCACTCTTAAACCAGCAACTTCTCCCCATGGTGAAAAGTCAATAGAAGAATGAATAATGATTCAGGAAGTGTTTATTGAGCACCTACTGTGCCCTGCAGTGAACTGGGAAATGAGGAAACAAAATAAGATGGAATAAAGTCCTGCCTCAAGTACACTTAACTATCTAATGACAAACCAAGCCAACAGAATGGGTCAGAATAGGTCAGCATGGCCAGATGGAGAGGGCTAGACAGGCATGAGAAGTTTGGTGGTCAAGGCAGTTTCAGAAGAACAGATCTGCAGCCTGCTGGCTGGCGTACAGCTTCTTAATAGATTGTGGCTTCCTCTGCTGCCTTGAGCTACTTACTCTGTGAATGAGTCTTCTCAGGATTCTCGGGAAGACTAATTCATTTTAAAGTGACTGTGGATCTTTTTAGCCAAGTATTGTAATTCTAAGAGATGCTACTTGGTGTAATGATTGAAAGCAGTCTAGAAGCAGATTGGCTAGGGTTAAATTCCTGCCCCACCACATACTGTATGACCCTAACTAAGAATATTTAAACTCTTTGTGCCTCAGTCCTATAAAAAGCGGGTAATAATAATAGCTGTCACGTAGGGTATTCAGAGGGAAACAAATTAATTAATATTTATAAAGGACCTGAAAAAGTGCTTATCACCTAGAAAGAGCTCTGTAAATATTTACCCAGTAAGTAATTAACATTAATCATTAGCACTGTTTACAAAGTACTTTACAGGCAGCCTCTCACTGATTCATGCCAACAGCACCATAAGTTACATGTGCCATTACAAAGCTAGTATAAGATAATGATATTCTTAATTCCATTACTTGAACCCAAGAAAGATGAAGACTCAGGCTGCATTACTATAATCTTCCTGTCTCATACCTGGCAACCTGTAGGCCTTTACTGTCCACTCACCCCACCTAACCTGACGCAGGAGCTGAAGGGAGCCCAATATGATTCCCCAGCGTGGATCGGTTGGGACGCTGAGGTCAACATTTACTGGCTACCTTATGTCTTTAACAAGGAAGCAAACACAGCAGGAAGGGCCCTGGGGAGCACCTACAGAGCCCTGCCACCTGCAATTCTCATCTGCAGTCCTTCTTGAAAAATTTGAAAGTACAGTACTGCGCAAGACATGGTCATGTGGTCCAAACTTCTTGATTGATAGACGTGAAGAGGAAAAGCTGGAAGTGGAAGAGGACTCACCTGAAGTCACACAGCTACTTAGGAACAGAGCCAGAAGCAAGCCCGGGCAGACCAGTGCTGCTGTGTCTGTGACAATGGCTGGACACTGGTTCAGGCACATTAAAAATGTCACCATTCTAACCCTGTGGCAGCCGTTGTCCATGGATGTCTTACAGATGAGAGGACCTAGATGCTACAGGTAGAAAGTAGCAGGCCTGACATTTTAATGCAAGTCTGCCAGAGCCCACAAATAGGATCCACATTTTAGTTTTCCAGCTGGAAGCAGATAATAACATTGGACCAATCTTCAGCTGCCAGTGTTGACCTTCTGGCCTGTAGTTGGAAGAGATTCACTTATATTTTCCTCATTGGTTCACTCCAGGACTCCAGATACCCACTTGCAGGTTGGAGGGGTCTATTGCCATGACAGTGTATTGCCATCACCATTTTAAACTCCAGATCATAGCCGTGTCCTAAACTGTCATCCCTGACCTGAAGTTGTGCAAAGCTGACTTTCAAATTGCACTGAATTGTGATTCTTACTCACCTCTGCTGGATTCTGAGAAATGATCACAGGGTATTTGAATGAGTGACATCTCTGGTAGGATGTCTAAAATTCCTTATATCTTTCAGGGAACACTAGATCTTCTTAAAGTGAGAAAAACAAAAGTCTATCTAGAAGACAGTGGATGGTTGGGACTCTCTTAGCCCAAGGATCTGCAAGACTCTCCTTCTCCAAGGATTCTGATACCTTCCCCACAACTCTGAGAGACTGAGGCAGGAAGATAGCAAGTTCAAGCCTAGCCTGAAGAGCTTAGCAAGCCCCTGCCCTGAAATTAAAAATTTTAAAGAGGAAGCCTGGAAATATAACACAGTAAGATGCCTCTGGGTGTAATCCCCAGTAGCACAAAGACAAATAGAGTCCTAAGGATAGTCCCTGAGGAAGACAACTTGAAGATTCCTGGAGCTTCCTGCTCCAAGAGTACCCTTGTACCCCGAGCTGAATGGATCTCAGCAGGCCTAAATTTAGTTGCAACTTCAAGTGGGAAGTCGGAAACCTTCTTGAGGAAGTTTTTGCCTAGGGCTCATCCCTAGCCCAAATAAGACAGGATAGTTGAAATGAAAATCAGCCCTCTTAACTCTAGGACAGCCAGGTGGTCTGTGGTTTTATCTTGTGAATAACATTTCAGGTGCTTCAAAAAGGGGCTAGTAGGGTGTGAGATTAGGGCAACCACCTTAAAATGGAACCAGAAGAATTAATTTTCCCTAAGATGTATCAGGTAACAGTGGATGCCAAAGGGGAAACCACATAATATCATGATATTCTTTTTTACGTTATATTGGATTTCTTCTGGCAAGAACATCTGCCATTGTAACTAAGAAAATCATAAGTTTTCAAACTATTTCGAGAAGAATCCACACCCAGAAACTACCCAGCAAGGGAGTGGAGTCTTGGTCACAGGTCTTTCTTTCTTTGTGTGGGAATGCTGCAAACAATCAGGGCCAATCCCCCAAGCTCAAAACAGACACTGTGCTGGAGATGACCTTCTGAAGCCTGATAAGAATTTCCTGGAGAGCAGATCTTCCCAAGTCTACTTGTACTCATTCATGGTACACCATGGCTGAGGCTCAGGAGCTGTCTCCTAGTCTCCCGTGTGGTACCCTGAGTGATTCAAGATCTTGTGACCATCCTTTGCTTCCTCTCCCCACTTGTTACTATCAAACTAGTTGCCCTTATCCCTGATAAGGAGTTCTTTCATCTTGAAGTCAGGCCCCGACGTCCTGGGGTTTTTTATGTAACCCCCGCAGAGTGCACAACGGAACATGACTGGGAGGCTGTGGTCTAAGTAGGAGGAGGGAAGCTCTGAGGAAGGAAGTGAGAGGTGCCAAGTACTGCCTTTCTTGGGAAAGGGAGAAGTAAAGGAAACTCCATGGCTGTTCACATCAACATTCCACTGTACATTTCTTCCTCCTAAAAGTTACAATTCAGAGTTGATTAGAACGTCAGAGGCAGAAACTTGCAGAATTTTTAATTCAGTGTTCTGCGCTAGGGTCAAACCTCACCAGACACAATGATTTCTGGTAGTAGGTGCATTACAAAATCTCAGATCTAAAATTGGAAAACACTCCAAGACTCCAAGGCACTCGAAAGGGTAAGGATGGAATCAGCTATATGCTGCCTGGAGGCTGTGTTGTCCTCCGACTAGAGGGTCCCCAACTAGGACCTTGTCCAAGAGGATGTGGGACAAATGCAGTGTGCTTTGGAGAGTGGCAGAGATGCTTACAGGACTCCAGGGTGTGGAGTAAGTCCTAGAAATGTATCTCCTCCACTAGATTTTTGTACGTGGAATTAGCTTCCTAGAGGGAGAGACTAGAACTACCATTTATCAGCCAGTTAATGTGTTCCAGGTCTTGTACTGGGCATACGGCATACATTTCTCCAGGTAAATCTCATGGCCCTAGAAGTAAATGTTACTTTTCCCTCTTGCCAGTGAGGAAATTGAGTTTGCAGCCACTGAGTGTTCACATGGCTAACCTGACCTCGAGGAATGTGAAGGTCACTTACTCGTGCAGTCTTCTGGCTTCGCCTAGAATGAGTGGTCCGAGAGAGTGAGCAAGGCGGAAGCTTCAGTGCCCTTTAGTCCTCATTTTGGAAGCTGCACACTGTCACCTCTATCACACTCTGTTCTTTAGAAACTGCTTGCTAAGTCCAGTCCACATTGAGATGGGAAATTAGCCTCTGCTTTTGAAAAAGGAGCATCACAGAACTTATGGACATGTTTCAAACCACCACAATCACCACTGCCTGTTGACACTGAAAGCCAGCCTGAGAGTGGGGGTGAACTGTCATCTACCTCCTTGGTCCTGTCTCCCGGGACTGAGTGCTCTTTAGCCATGTCTTGGTCACCACTGGAGCCACAGAACCAAGTACAGCTTGGCCCACAGTAGGTAAGTAATAAGAGCTTGAGACATACCGAGCTTGATGAACAGATTGAAAGTGTGAAACACATAGGTCGTATTAATTATGGTAATGAGTTCTAATGGTACCTAGGCAAACTAACTAGCCAAGATAGCTCATGCACATTGTCTTCCTTTGGAGACATTTAAGCCTAGGAAGAGGATCTCTACAGTCTGTGGGTCTCTAACTAGCTGTGGTTAAAAAGAATCATGAAAAGGCCTTACAGCTTTTGTAGACAACCTCCCTCACAGGGGGCCCACTGCTTTCTCACCAAGGTCTCCCCTTTTCTTTGCAGATTGCTTTGCTCCCCAACAGTGCTGCTGAACTGGGCAAGTATATCACTGGCAACAAGGTGCTGGCCTCAAACACCTACCTTCCAGGACCTCCTGGCCTACCTGGGGGCCAGGGTCCGCCCGGTGAGTGTGAATGGGGGCCCAGGAGGCTGGTAGAATCACCAGGATAGTCACAAGAGGTCATGGTGTGCAGGGCAAGGTGGTGTTCTCCAGCTTCCATCAGGAGAAGGGGAGCAGGTGTTGAGAGAGCTGCCATGCCCGTGTGTAGTGAGAGGGCCTTGGGAAGTTGGGCTTTCCAGCCTGAGAACCCCTTACAACTGATGTAATTTGGGAGGAAAAGGTGACTGTCTTGGAGTTAGATATGATCCTCAAAGATCATTTTAAGAGAAAATCACCAAGCTATTTTTTAACTTCATGGTGGAAAATTTGAATACATACAAATCTAAATGGTATATATCATCGGAATAATTCTACCAATGCATGGCCAACCTCACTTCCACTGTTCCCAATTCTCTTTCCACCTACCCTTACTAACACATTCACCTTTATTGTTACATCTAGCTGCCTAGTTTTCTTTATAAGTAGACCTTATTGAGCTATCATTTAAGATGTACCCATTTTAAGTTATCATTTGGTGAGTTTTGACAAATCTGTTCCGTCACTCCAGAAAGTTCCCTTGTGCCCATTTACAGTCAGTGTACTCCCCCCCCCAGCTCCAGGTACCACTGTTCTGCCTTCCTTTACCATAGCTTCGTCTGTTTGAGGACTACACATTATTGGAATTTTTTAGCTTGTGTTCTTTTTTCTGGCTTCTTCAATTCAGCATACAGTTTTAGAGATTCAGCCTTATTAATTTGAAGGAAAAAGCTTTGTTTTTTTGGCAATACTGGGGGTCGAACCTAGGGCCTTCATACCAAACTATATCCCCAGACTTTTTCGTCCTACCATTTCATTTCAAAATATGATGAAAACCTCAAAAAAACAGTTACAAAGTGTATGTTTTATCTGAGCCCTTCTACAATTTTTTTTTAACATCAGTAAAGGAAATGACATTAGTGTCAGCAAGTGATTGTAAATCATTAATTGTCTGATCACTGGTTATCATTGCTTAGCAGTGTGCTAAGTGTTTGGAATGATGTCCTGCCATTCCAAATGTGAAGACAAGACAGGCAGTGAATACAAATGGAGTAGAAGAATTTCCACATGCCCTCAAGTAAGTGTGGAGATACTTCCTGCCGTGAGAGCTGAGAGAAGGAAGTTGCTGTAATCTGCAGCGATCAGGGATTTGGAGCTTGATCTGCACGTAAACACTTGGTAGAATTTGTCCAAGCAGAAAGGGTATGGAAAAGTTTTAGGTTTGACAGTCAGTAAGAATCCAGGCTCAGAGTCTTTCCCAAAGGATCTGTGTGTCTTCAGTACTTAATCTCATCAAACATAGGTGCCCTGGGTCTCAGTCTGAACCAAGAACTGGCCCAGGACTTGGCTTTATTCTCTTGTTCATTCCTTTAACCTGAGGTTCTCTGGGTTGTGGCAGAATTTTCTTCAGCAGATGCCGCACACAGGCAGCCTCTTGCTGCTTCTAAGTAGTCTGGGGTCTCTCCTTACAAACTGGTTCCCAGCTCAAGTGTTCTTCACCCTTCTAGAAAAGAATGCTCTTGCTTTACTTCTCTGGAGGAAGTCCATCTCCAGGCCAGTCAACATGTCTCTGACTAAGGACAGGTACAGGAGCAGGGGGGCAATTGACTGGCTGTTTTTTTTTAAATAAATGGCTTAGTAGCTTTCCTTTCCAAGTCTGCCATCTGGTTTCTAACATGCATTGAGCTGTCCACAGTCCTTCATGGAACAGAGACAATTGAGGATCAGTGAACGGTTTCAATGAACGAGGCCCCTACATAAAGAATTTCTCACTTCCTACTTCTAGTGTTTTTGAAGCCCTCCATTGAGATATATCAGAGCACCTAGAAAGTTAATATAGTTCTCTCACCTTCATATAAAAGTTCATCCTAAGGCCTATGATAAATTACAGGTTACAGTACCAACACAGGAAAGATCCTGGGTTGGAATCCTTCGGCTTTGGCGGTGAGGGGCTGGCTGCTGTCTAGCCTCCACTGTTAAATATGAGGCACTTCATTTCCGTATCAGGGCCCCCTTAAATGTACTTGACATACAATAGTCTCTAAGGGTCATTGATTTAGTAAAGGCAGGGAAGATGTTATCTCTAGCCTTTCTGTGATTGGAGGTAAAATATTTAATTATTGGAGGCATCTGGCCCCCTCTTCCCCCACAAACTCATTAAGGATGAAACCATAACTAGTAGTGAGAGTTGGGGTATGGAACATACTTGGAGGGAGTATTGCCTGCCTTTACCTTCCTATTAACTGTTCCATGAACTAGAAAATTCTGAGGCTTCTGCAACATGGATGAACCTTGAGAACAATAGGCTAAGTAAAATAATTCCATTAAAAGACTTACATGAGACATTTAAAATAATCAAACTCACAGGAATATAACAGGAACTTAGAAACAGAGCCTACAGATGCCCAGTGGATTACTAAAGGTGGGATGAAACTTGGCATTTCAGCTTTTATTTTATATTTGTCTTTTATTACCTTAAAATTTGGGGTCAGATCCGTGCTTAACTCTGCACATTGTGAGTGCTAGTCACTTAAGGAGTCTCCATAATGAAAGGCTTATTAACCTTAAATTTGCCTAGCTTATTGTATCTCCCTTCAAGACTGAGGATACGAAGGTAAGAGTGACTAATTTTCAGAATTTGCTGAGGACATCCAGTGCCAGGTTGTACATAGTACAGCTCCAGAGACCCTGGTACAATGCCTAGAAGTCTTCAGTCATTGTCCTAAACCTGCAGTCATCATCAAGTCCAAGAAAAGCAGAGCTTCCCAGCCCACCCCACAATGAGGTCACCTTCCAGCCAGGAATATTTGTCCCAAAGCTGCCTCCTTTAAGCAGGAACCATCATCTCATAATTAGAACCAAATTGTTCCCACAAGTGGTGACTCTCCTAGGACCTCACAGAATCAGCCTGAGATACTAATCAAGCCCACCACAACTTGACAAGCATTACCTATCAGCTATACAAACCCTCTACCCTTGCCTTTGTTCCCCATTTCTATAAAACCTCAAAGCTCCTAAGACAGATTTTTGAACCTCTTTATCTGTGCTTCCCAGCATGACCCTGGGGATTAAGTCTCCTTTCTGCCTTTCGCCACTGCCCATCTCCTTGATTAGCATTATGGGACAGGTGGCAGGGCTTAGTCTCTTGGGACACCCCATCACCACAGAGGCATGGCTTTTGCCCTAAAACTCTAGTAAAAGAAAGAGAAAGGCAAATCATGGTAATCAGAGGCTAAGTAGAGAGGAAATGGGGAGGAATTGTTCAGGGGACATAAGGTTGCACATTCCCAAGATGAAAAAGTTGTGGAGATGAATGCACATAATACTACTGAATTGCACTTTTAAAATGGTGAAGATGATAAATTTCCTGTTGGGTATTTTCTACCATGGTATTTTAAGAGGTGCTCTCAAATCCACACCCTCTTTCCCCTCAGCCTTCCTGGCTAATATTCAAGGTCTGGTGCAAAGGTGAGAAGGGTGCAGCCCCACACCTCACACAACTGTGACTCTTGAGGAACCAGCAAGGCATTCCCTGGAACCCTCCCTGTGTGGCAGCAATTCTGTGTCCTGGTGAAAGTGTTGGATGCCCCAACCTTCACTGAAAGCCAGCCCACGCCAAAAGATCATTTACAACTGTGCCTTTTTGTATAAACACTGCATCCTTCTCTTCCCCATGAACTTCCAGGACAAAATGGTATGACCAAAATTTGGCACACATGCAGACAAGAATTATTAAACAGTTAAATAGTTTGTTCTTATACTTACATACTTATAACAATGCTATGTTGCTTTAGGCCTCTGAAAAGAATTTTAAAAACAAAAACAACAACAAAAAGCCCTCATCATCTGCAAAGTGCAGATGAAGTGCAGGTGGACAAATGAATGAAGGGGGCTGAGTGCAAGGGATCAAGAGTGACAAGGATTGAACTATAGATCCATTGAACTATAGATCCAGCATAGATCCATTTAAAGGGCAGCCCCCATATAGAGCTCCAGTCATTTGTGCCAATGGCAGATTTGTTCTGGGACTCTGAAAATTAAATTTCAGATTTTAGTTCTTCCTCTTTTCAAATTGACGCCAAAAATGCAGATATTTTTATGAAATCTCCTAATTTTAACATAACATACTTAGAGATAATGTGTGTATGTGTATTATATAAACATATAGAGCATATGTTTGTGCATATATACATTATATGGTCCACATCATACTTTATATAAAGTATAATGGTGTGAAGTAAAGTAAGTGGTTAATTCTCTCACAGGAAGAGAATGTTAAGATGTTTTTGGAGGTCCACGGTGGTGAAATGAGGATGGAGGACAAACAGAAAATCAGTCTAGGCTGGATGGTGTGTAGTAGCAAGGTGTCTTGGTTGCTTTTCTCTCATTGCTGAGAAAAAATGCTGTATGCCCAAGATTAAGCAAGGAAAGGTTTATTTAGCTCACAGTTTGTGGAGGTTTTAGTCTATACTCAGCTGGCTCCAAGGCAGAGTGGCACATGGCACAGAGCAACCATTCATGGCAGTGGAAAGCAGCAAAAGCAGCAGGAGCAAAAGGGAAGAACAGAGGCAAGCAGCCTCTTTCTCTCCCTTACATTGTATGCAAACAACCCGCCTCAAGGTGGGTATGGCACTCACACCCATGAATCAGTCATAAACTCTAAAAACCTGCCCCATGACTGCTGGAGGCTTTGGGGGGACATCCAGACACAAACCATAACACAGGGTCTGTTCAGGGAGTCTGGGACTGAGAGGTGATGAGGAAAGAGGTGACGGTGGGAAAAGTGCCTGGAGAGGAAGATGAGAATGAGCCACCATAGTATGCTGTGAGCCTGAACTGTATACAAAGGGAAACTCTGTAGGGTTTTTGTGTCCTCGAACATTGGTGACATTTAGACAGATGTTGCCCCAGCTCTTTTGGATGTTCTGTTTTACTGTTGGTTTCTCTTTGTGCTTCATTTTCATATTAGTCATCTTGTGGTACTCTGGCAGAATACCTAATGAAAACAACTGAAAGAGGAAAGGTTTATTTTGGCTCACGGTTTCAGAGGCTCATGGTGGGGCAGAAACATCATGGTGGAAGGACAGGGCAGATGACAGCGGCTCACCTCATGGCTACCAGGAAACAGAAACAGAAAAACAGAGGAAGAGTAAGGGACCAGATGTCTAGCTCAAGGTCACATCCCCGTGGTCCACTCCATTTGGCCCCAATCCCCATTTCCATCACCTCTAAGCCAGGTCACCAAATGATGATTTCTCTAAAGAGGCTGTGTTGGGGCTGTGAAACCAAGAACTCTTAACACTGTAACCAAAGATTGAAGTTCTCCACAGGATGCTGAGTCATTCAATAGTAATGTATGTTCCTGGGGAGATCTAAAATTTAGTAGCTCATAGTCATGACATCATATGGTTGGGTGATATGGGAAAGACCAAATGTCTCAAAATTTAGCTGGTGTTTTTAAAAATACGATTTTTATCAGTAGATTAATCCACTTGGATAAAGCTCTCATGATCCAGTCACTTCCCAAAAGCTCAAATCAGCAACCAACCCTTCAACACAGTGAGCCTTTTGAGGACATGTATCCAAACAGTTTTGGAGAATGTCTGTTGATACAGCTTTTAATTTTACTGATGTTTTCATTGACTGTGACCAATCTGCTGATAAGCCTATCAAAAATGTTTTCATCTCTTCATATTGTGTTTATGTCCATTTGATGTTTTCCCTCTAGTTTTCATCTCTCTGCTAAAATTGTCTATCTATTGGGGCAAGCCATCTATTTTTCCACTATCACTTTTAACATGTTAATTATTGTTATTTTGAAATCCCTGACAGATAACTCCAGTATCCAAGTCACCTCTTGAGTCAGGTTTTGCTAATTGTTCTCATTTGACAGCAGCTTGTTTTGCTTTTGCTTTTATCATGTGGCTCAAAATTTTCTATTGAATGCTTCACATCATTTGTAGGGGAACAGTAGGGTACATAGTTAGTTAATTAGTCCTTGAGATGGGTACTCTTTTCTTTTGTCAGGGTATATTTTGCAGTCTTCAGATTTTCAGATTCCTCCAGTGGTGGCATCCTTTTGCCTTATGCTCAGTGGGGGCGAAGGATACCAGTGGGTTTTTCTGTTTGTACTCTACTCTGTCTTCACTAACTCTTACACGTCTCTCTGCAAGCTTGCCCTTGCGGTAGACTTCAGCTACTACTTTGTGCTAAAATTGTGAGACTAGAGAACATTTTCAGATCTCCTGCTACAGCTGTCATCCTGAGCTTGAGCTGTGCATGTGAACCTTGAGGTGAGATCTTCTTACCCTCCTCACCTGCAGCAGGCCTTGACTCTGTAGCAAATCTAGGACAGGGCAACATTTCTACTCTCACTGTGGGTATTTGTGGAGGGCTGCAGAAGAGTTTGCTATCCCACTTAAGTGGCTTGAAACTTTTGTACCAAAGGGTTGCAGGTAGGAAAATTACACAGTAAGACTTATTTTAGAAATAATATTAATATAGAAATGTAAAGAACAGGTGAGGAGTAAACACAGTTGGTGGGGGAATAGAGGGATACTGGCTATGAAGAAAGAGTTGAGTCAAACAAATGAAAGGCAAGGTCTAACAGATGTATTTTTAGTGCTTGCTATATGTGAGACACTCACTATGCTAAGTGATGTGTATGTGTGTGTCTAAAATCTCCTTCAGGACAGCCATTCTGTACAGAAGCTTTTTATTCACCCAGGTTTAGAGATGAGAAATTAAGGTTCAAAGAGTACAAGCAACTTGTCAGAGATTCAGACCTAGGTCTCTCTGACACTAAAACTTGTACTCTTAAGCACTATCCAGATGTGATAGTTACTACCCATATATGAGAGTAGCCTGCTATGATGGAGGAGCTAGAGAGACACCGACAGTTATAAGTGGCGTTGGGAAAGGAGCTGGTCATTGCTTGGGTAAGGAGGTTGCGGAAACGGAAATATTGGCAGATTCTCGGGTTTTTGTTATGACTGGTGGTCCATAAAAAGAGGAAGATGGGGAAGTCACTTTGATTAGGTTAAGTTTAAAATTCCCATGGGACACCTTTTTGATGTTATCAGAAGGCAAAGGGGCAGAGTGCAAAGAAAAGTGGCTGAAGCAGCTCTTGGACACCCTCATCCATCAGAACCCCTTGCTTTCCCACAAGCTGTGAGCTAATGAGCTGTTCTTTGATTACAGGCTCACCAGGACCAAAGGGGAGCCCAGGCTTTCCTGGCATGCCAGGCCCTCCTGGGCAGCCTGGCCCACGGGGTTCAATGGGACCCATGGGACCATCTCCTGATCTATCCCACATTAAGCAAGGCCGGAGGGGCCCTGTGGTCAGTATCTTAGCAGACATCCACTTACTGTTGTTGGTAAAAGTATGTGTCCTATGTCTTTTCCTTCTATTAAACCAGATCCTTGTATATTGTAGGGCCCACCAGGTGCACCAGGAAGGGATGGCTCTAAGGTAAGTCTTATAAGTGATCCAAACAATCTGAAGGTCTGTTTCCATCTACTCTGCAGGCACCAAGCAAAGTTCAATAAGCACTATTTACCTCCCTGTGTTGCATATAGCAATGCTAAAACACAGATGTACAGGTTGAGTATTCCAAATCCTAAAATCTAATCTGAAACGCTTTCAACATTGACATGATGCTCAAAAATGTGGGGATTTTGAAATATTTCTGATTACAGATTTTTCAGATTATTGATGCTTCATGGCACTCTATGCAAACATTCCAAAATCCAAAAAAATCTAAAAAACTCTGACATCCGCAATACTTCTAATCCCAAGCATTTTGAAAAGGGGATACTCAACTTGTACTTTTACCTGCAAAACTGGAACAAAATTTAAAGTATGGAATGAACCCTAAAAGTAAATACAACCACCAGTACCTTCCCAATAAGTACGATCCCTCTAAGTCTTAAGTAAACTTCTATTTTGTGATACTCACATGTTTTTCTCATTGACCGGTGTTGTTTTGTTTTGTATATCTCCATTTCTTTAAGATTATGAAGTCAAAACAGCAGTTCCATTCTATACAACCAGGTGATTTCACTTTTGAGGGCTTCCTGCTATTGGTCCCAAAAAAGAAGTCATGTGTGATACTTTAGAAAGTTTTATTATTCTACATGCTGCCTTGAAATACGTGTCAAATCTGGTTTGAAATGTATGACTTAGGAGAAAATCAGCATGAAAAACACTTGACCCGAGTATTTCTGTTCACATAAATGATCCCACAAGCCCAGCTTCATTCCTACATTTGTTTCCTATAGAAAATATAGTGCTTGTTTTGTGTAGGAAAACAGCTATGATTGGTGAGTGTCTGAATAGAGACTGTGGTGGTGAAGTTCGTATGGTCCAGAACACTAACCCTGGCCTTTCTGTTTTCAGGGAGAAAGAGGAGCACCTGGACCCAGAGGGTCTCCTGTAAGTGGCACTACCTGTCCTGCTTCCAGAGTGGGGATGTTCTCAGTGAAGCAGCTCTTATGAGAGCCCAAAGTGACTCCTCATGACAGAAACCGCCTAAGCAGAACTCTGTGGTTAGGAAGAGTCTCATGGGAGCCTTTAGCAACTGGTTTTGATTACTGTTTAAATTTGTTTTCCGTTGCTACTTTTTCTTTTATCATGGTTAATCTTCATGTGGAATGTATTCTATATTCCACTATGCCATGAGTCTGTTTCCAGTACAGTGTATCATAAAATATCTCAGAGAACCAGAATAGAAAGCAATGGATTTTCAAAATTTGGAACACTTGAGGATGTAACCTGGTACAGTCCTAACTCCTTCACGAAGGTCAGAGATATGCAGGACTGCTTGAGACCTGAGAAGGAATTAACTGCATATATCAGCTGTGTCTCGGAGACTCAAAATGGAAATTAGTAATACTCAAAAGTGTAGCAAATGCAAAGAAGTCTACTACTTGTGAAGAAATCATTGTTCTATCTGAAGAAAGACTGACAGCTGTGGCCACAGAGACAGGAGGTCTCAGCGCCTCCGTCTGTTAGCTTTCTGACCACAGACACATCACCTAGCGTCTCTGGGCATTCGCCCTCTCCCTTGTACAGTACTAGTAGGGCAGTCTGATCTGCCACTTTTTGAGTGCTTATTGTGAGGGTCAAATGATAGCAAAATACCACACCTAAGTGCTTTGCAGTGTAAACTGCTGCTTCTAAGGCGGTAGCCACCTCAGCAACAGACATACAGGGGTAATAACAGTTTCACCTTTAAACTGTAACAGGCCCAGAATATGCATGTTTATACATTTTATTGCATTTTTACAGCACTGCATGGGAATTAAAGTTGTACTGTATAATAATAAAGGATGTTCAATAAATAGGAAAATTAGGAAATTTTTGTTTTAACCTTTCCTAATAGTCCAGGAACTGGGTCTTTATAACACACTCTCACCCTCATTTAGCTTTCCATTTCAAGTCCACCATCGTGTAAACATCTTAATTTTATTTTGAAAGAACATTTTGGACAGTTTATTATGCTCTAAACCCTTTACCTGGATTAAGTCATTTAAATCCTGACTTCCGAACCTTACAAAACTCTGATGATGTTGGTCTATTGGCCTCATTTTACAGATAGGGAAAACTGAAACCCAAAGAAAATCAAGTGCTTTGCCAACGACCACACAGCTTACAAGTGAGAGAGTTGGGAGTCAAACCCAATAGAACCTCGGCCTCTTAACCACCATGCCACTATTTTCACAAGTGTCTTCCAGATTTCTTTGGCAAGTCACTCAGGACAGTTACTCTCATATTCTTTCATCTGTCAGCTTTGACATAGCCTAGAGTTAAGATAGAGGATATGTGAATGTATCACCAGTGTCCATAGTTGATACAGGAAATTAGAAGACAACCTCGAGTGTCCCTGTCTGCTGTCACAGTCATAATTACTCCATTTTGGGACACAGAGTTTTCCAGAAGGGAGTTACCAGCAAGCAACAGGACCAGCAGATCATGGAGCCAGAGAGTCCATTGTTGCCACGGGGTGAATCTGTTGTAAATTACAGCTTTGATTCTTCCCACTGTGCAGGGACCACCGGGTTCTTTCGACTTCCTGCTCCTTATTCTGGCTGACATCCGCAATGACATTGCTGAGCTGCAGGAAAAGGTGTTCGGGCACCGGACTCACTCTTCAGCAGAGGAGTTCCCTTTACCTCACGAACTTCCCAGCTACCCAGAGACCCTGGACTTCAGCTCTGGAGATGACTACCCAAGAAGAACTGAGGCAAGGGATCTGGGAGCTCCCAGGGACTTCTAGCCCTAGCACATTCCACATGTTCACAGGAGCAGAGAAGAGGAGTACCTCCACCTGCAACTAAAGCATCTAAAGAAAAAATTACTGGAGATGTAGAAAGAAACATTTCCTCTTTCCTAACTCCTTTCCTGCCTTCTCACTACTATTCTTCTAAATTCTATTTTCAGACTGCCCTACTAAAGACAGGAGGGAGGAAATGATGAATTTATGCGATGTTTGCAGAAAGTCAGGACTGTTCTTTAACACCCTGTTTTTCTTTGGCATCCTATTTTTTCAGAAGCTTCTGGATTTGTGAGCTAAATACTCTTGCCACATCGTAAAATTGGGCACAATACCAAAAAAGGGAAAGATGGCAAGGTGAGCTCTAAGAAAGCTTGAGGCTAACTTCTAAAAAAAGAAGAAAAAAGTGTCATGTTCCACACAGAAAGGTTGTGTTCCTCCTCTTGTACCCAAATTAGATCTCTTTAATTAAAATGGAGTGAACAACCATAAAGATTCACCCTGATGGATAATTCTTTTTCCTTGTCAATCTAATAGATATTACATATCCCATCCTGCTATCCAACCTTGTTGCCCAAATTTGGTTATGGAAAGGACAGAAGTAAAGAGTAGAGATTGAGAAGGTAGAGAATTACAGTTGTATATTTATTGCCATATAGGTTGTCACATTTTAAAATTCAAATATGATTAAGTTAAGTGTTCATGTCATGCTAATCTATATGAATCCTTCATGGAGAAAAAGTTCTTCTGGCTATAGGAATAAATCCCCTTTTTCAAAGACAATAAGGGAATGAAATTCCCCAATTCATATTAAAACAGTGGACTCCTGGTTGCCAGGATATTTTAAAGCTGTTTGATCAAAAGCATGGTCCTGCTCCATAAATCACAAGTTATTTGTTAAATAAGATGGCTGACCCTTAGGAAGGAAGGCAGAATTCCGTGCTCTGATCAGGTACCCAGAGGTGCCACTGGGCTGTGATCCAGGCCAATCAATGCAAAATGAAGTGGAAAGAGGTGCTGGCATGGGCTGTTGGCAGAGAAGCAGGGGAACCCTGGGCAAGGACTCCCCTGAAACCAACTTGGCAAAGGCAGGTAAATTTGCTTTCCTTGGGCATTAGAAGTCTTTGTCTGGAGCCAGCAAGCTTGCCAGCATACTGGGAATAATGCACTGTTAAGAGTTCTCTTTTGGGCTGGGGATTTAGCTCAGCGATAAAGCGCCTGCCTGGCAAGCGCAAGGTCGTGAGTTCGGTTCCTGGTACCGGAGAAAAACCAAAAAAAAAAAAAAAGAGTTCTCTTTTATGGAGAAGGAAATGTGGTTTTCCTTGCTTGGCAAAAATTTTCTCTCCAATACTTCAACTTTTCCTTAATTTAGTCCAAATTCCAGTTCTTTCAAGCCTTCTCCTTGATTTTTCCCTCAATAGTATGGGAAGCTGATAAAAGGAGATATATTTCCCATCCTGGCATGGAATTACAGTATCTTTTCAGAGCACCTCTGAGTCCCAGAGGAAAACATATCCCATCAAGGCCTTCTTAGGATTCACAGGTTCCGGGAACAGCTAGCCAAAGGATCTGCTCCTTCTCTGTATTGTTGGGAGCCTCTTGGTTTCAGAGGCAGCTTTCAGGTTTGAGGGGGTCCACTCTCTCCCTGGGCACACAGAGGAGCTTCTTATCTTCCTATTCAGGGGATCTGAACAGGGAGATTCACACACAATCACTACGGACTGTTTGTCACAACAGGTCTCTCTTTCCTGTCCTGCAACCTTCCCTCAGGGGGGTTGCGTTTGACTTTTTCTGTATCCTTTGAACCGAAGTCATTTGCTTACCCTGCTGTGACAGCTGGTTGGAAGAAACCACCATTGTTGAGTTTGCATGCCACTCTAAGTCCTATTCTTGAAGAAGAGGACAGGATCATCTGCAGACCTTCAGTAGCACCAGGCTTCCTTCCCTCCTTCCACCATGTTAGAGATGTACCTGGCTGAGCCTTTTATGAACACTTGGTTCGCTCTTTCTTAATCACAACAGATCCCCGGTGATTGACTATCAGCATGTGAAGGCGAACACACCAGCAGTGCTTGTTTTCTGTCATCCCTTGCTCTCTCGGTCTCTCCAGAATCTGACCTTTGCCACAGACAGCCTCACCAGCCACAGCTCATGGAGAGATGGGCTCAACAGCTGTTGAATCCCACCTGGCACATTTAAGGTCTGCCTACTTGTGCAACACAATATGTAAAGGGTGTGGATAGATGAATGCTCAAAAAGAACCCTACACAGGTTCCATGAGAGATGATTAGGCTCATCTTTGATTTTTTTAAATGAGCAGTTTAATTACCTTTGCTTTTCCTTGGCTGTGAATTGTATTTAGAAATATAACCTCTATTGTCAAATGTTGATAATATACAAGCAAACTGCATGATTGGCCAAAGGCTAGGAAAATATATCAAAAGAATGAGCTAAAAGTCAAAATATCTGGGATTCATGAGACTAATTTAAATAATAATCTCCAGCAAAACACACAATAATCTGAATTTTATAATCTTGATCTGCTATACCAGGTCAATTTAGAAAATTATTAATCCTCAGCTTTTCAAAATTCAGACTACTGCAAGAACTAAGTATGTACTCTATATATTTCAAAGATAAGACATCATAAGACATTGTTATTTCTAATACAGCTTTTAGTTGAGTATATAAAACCAAAGCATCACTGTCTAAATAAAACCTCTGCTCAGAGGAAAGGGAAAAAGTCTTTTCTTAGGGAGAGGAGTTAAAATTTGCCACAATTTTATGAAATCACTTCATCTTTCACGGAGGAAAAAGATCCTTGTACACCTTTTTGACCTTTTAGCACAAATGTTGACATCAAATTTTTGCAAGCAATGGTAATAAAAATCTGCTGTTGAGAATAGTAAGGAGGGCATGCATTTTAGTTTAGGAAAATCCTTGCCTTCACGGTTCCAGATGGAAAAATTAAAAGTTGTATGTGCCAAGAAAAAGGAGTTTAGGGGTTGAGGATATAAAGAGGAAGCTGCTTTTTCTCACCTCCTGTGCTAATTTCCAACACCTGCCTCAGAATGAGTTGACCAAAGAAATTCCTGTGTAAACTAAGATGACAGGTATGTCCACTCCCCAACACATAAATAATAAATGCTCTCTGGTGTTAAAGGGAAGCAAGGAATAGTACTCCAGCAAATACCAGAGCTAGACTAGGACCTGATTGGTTGTGTTCCTTTTCCTAGGTTCACAATCACTTTGGCCTTGCCTTGGGATGACCATCATAGTCATGCAGGAAAAGATTTTCTCCCTAACCAGGCACCAGGCTTCACCCTGGGTTTTCAGCAGCGATTCTCCATCATATGTTGGCCATCGCTGTCCTCTCCCATGCAAGCTGCCCCACAGGGACAGCCACAGCAGCCTGATTCTGCAGGCTTATCTTCCAGCAAACCTTCCTGAAGACTTACTTGCAAGAATCTGGGCCAAACAATTAGTAGAATAGAGCCATCGAAAGCTATTAATCATGAATTCGGGGAAATTGATGAGATTTTTCCTGGCATAGTCCACATGTATGTTTCATAACAAATCAAAAAATAGTTTTCCATTTGGAAAAAAGCACAGTGACCATCGCTGTTAAAGCATAAAATCATGGGCTTTCCATGGTTCCTCTACAAATGTTGCCACTTTAGAGAAATCGTAGAAAAGGACCCTTTTACAACATATCCCTCAGGGGTCTCAGTATCCTTTGCCAAATTCCCAAAGCAAGGGCCCTGAGAATTCCATGTGTGTTGTGAGTTTGTTTTTATTTCCCAGTAACTAGTTTATACTTCAATAGCTCTGTTCATTATTTATAACAGGTCATATAACAATCAAGTTAGTATTCAAACAGTTATGAATGTGATATTATGAAGTACTTTTGTATGATTGTATATTCTTAATAACAAAGTTATTTTTCTTATATGCCTCTACTGTGTTTTGTGCTGACACCCAGTCCATCCTTTTACGAGATAAGTATAGAAAAGTGGAGAGGGACATTTCTCAACAGCTGGAATCTGTGTCCTGGGTCTACCACCCCCTGCAGTGATCTGAACAGTTGAATCTCAATCAAAGATTAAAGACCCAGTTACCACTGTGTCTTGGTGTCAGAGGCCCCTTTCTCTCCTCTGTGGATCCTCTAGGTCCCCCAGGATGGAATTTTTGAACCAAAAGCTCTGCGGGGCTCCCTAGAGGTTGGCCTTATTAGAAGTACTTAAGAGCTCACAAAGGGAAAGTCTGTAACGATCCTGTCCACCCCACTTGCCACCACCAGTGACTCAGTTGCATCTGTTTTGGATTAGAATCCCATGTAAGATTGGAGGGGGACAACTAAAAACAAGCTAAATAGAGTTGGGAAGAGAAAACCCCTTGAGCTGGTAGCAGGAGTCCTCCATGTATAGATAGGAAGGGAATCTTCAACTGGGCCATAGAGAAGGGAGAGTGATTTAAAAAGAAAAAAGGCTACTTTTTTTTTGTTTTGTTTTTGTTTTTGTTTTCCGGTACCAGGAATCGAACTCACGACGTTGCGCTTGCCAGGCAGGCGCTGTGCCGCTGAGCTAAATCCCCAGCCCCAAGAAGGCTACTTTTAAAGGCTTTTAGTCATCCTTAGCAAGGCACTTTTAGCATCCTGAAATGAACCTATAAAGTATGTATGTATTTATTCAGTAATTATGAATTATTGTGAGCTGGGTACCATGTTACGTAGCACAGACACAAAAAGGTCATACTCGGCCCTCCTCCCAGGGATCCATCCAAACAAAATAATCACATAAAATGCAATTACAAACTGTGATACGCTCAATGAAGTCAAGATGCTGGGTGCTGCTGAAGCACTGTGGGCCTGCTCTGCGCTCTCCCAGGTGCGTCCTCTCCGGAGTCACTCAACATACACAGAGCTGTCAGTGGCAGCACCCACACCAGCTACCTGAGACGTCACTGCCCCTAGCTGCATGTGAAGTTGTACAAATGGATTCTAGGGGCTGGGGATTTAGCTCAGTGGCAAAGCGCCTGCCTGGCAAGTGCAAGGTCGTGAGTTTGGTTCCCGGTACCGGAGAAAAACCAAAAAACCAAAAAAAAAAAAAAAAATGGATTCTAGAAGGCCACTTAGTACTGTGTATCACATTTTTTACCCAGTAACATCTGTGCTCTGGTGTAGATTCCCAGCACAATTGGAAGTTTGTTTCTTCCAGCCAAGACAATGAAGATTTTAAAAAGCTTGCTACGCTTTTGCAACCCAAAACCACAGCATACCACCTTGCGTCCATATGCAGATTTTCCCTGTCCTGTGTCTGGGTGCAAGGCTACAGGGTGGCCAAGTGGGAAACTGCTGAGCCTCTAGGCACGCAAGGAAAAGTGACACCACAAGGATACACGGGGGACTGCAGCCTAGGGAACTGGTAGAGGTGTTTCCTAGGCCGCTGCGCCCAAGTGCCAAGGACTGGGTGGGTTAAAACAAAAATGGATTCATACAGCCCTGGAGGCTAGAAATCAGACATCAGAGTGTCAGTAGGAGGTCTAAGGGAGAAACCATTTATGTTTTTTTCCAGTCAGTGCTGGCTGCCCACTGTCATGCCGTGGTTTGCCACTAGTGTCATGTCCAACCTGTTCTATCCTCAGGTCTCTGAGCATGTGGCATTTTTAGCACTCCTTTCTGAGCCTTCTGCGTGTATTTTCTCTCAAAGATACTACCAGTAATTATTAGGTCAGGATCCACCCTAATCTAGTATGATCTCATCTCAATTATATGTACAAAGACCCCATCTCATAAGGTCACATTCTGAGGTTCCAGATAGACATTACGTTGGGGGACACTAACCCAGTACAAAAAAGAAATTGTCTCTCCAGCTTTTAACTCTCATTACTCTGCTTACTTCCTTTAATAGCCTTTTTTTCTATCATGAAATCCTTATTCACTTCATTCAACAAAAGTTTATTGAGGGGGAAGGGTAAAGTAGTGAACATTAGAGTCCTGGCTGCTGTAGAGGATACCTTCTGGTCCAGGAAGACAGGCAGAAATGTGTATGTTTAAAAACAAATTTATTTTAAGAAATTGGCTTGTGCAACTTTAAATGCTGGCTCGTCCAAAATCTTCAGCATAGATCAGGAGGCTGGGAAGCCAAGGAGGAATTAATGTTGTAGTTCAAGTCCAAAGGCAGGCTGCTGGCACAATTCCCTCTTGCTTGAGAGTCAGTCCTTTTCTACTAAATCTTTTTTTTTTTAATTTCCAGTGATACTTCTACTAAATCTTTCAACTGGTGCATGATACCCATTCGCATTATGGAGGATAATGTGCCTCAGTCAAAATTTACTAATTTCAATATTAATCTCATCTAAAAAATTCATTTACAGAATCTTACTTTCCCATTGCTATGACAAAATATCCAACACCCACAACTTAAAGAAAGAGAAGGTTATTTTGGATTACAGTTTCAGTCCATGACTGGCTGGCTGCAGAGATAGGATATCAGAGAAAGGCTGCTCATATCATGGTGGTGAGGAAGCAGAGAGTGAAGGGAGGAGGTGGAAGGGAGATGCACCATTCCAGGTCACAGCCCCAGTAACCCACCTCCAACCAGGCCCCACTTCCTACAACACATTCAGCTCTGAACCCATGATACCATCACTTTCCAACAGCCCCAGCAGCTCTGAATACAGGAGCCTGTTGGAGAACGTTCTGGAACACGGAAATATATAGAGAATAATGTTTGACCAAATATTTGGTCAGTCAATATTACAGCCTAACCAAGTTAATGTATAAAATTAGCCATCAAAATATATACCCATATTTTAGAAAACAGAGAGCTATGAGGGAAATTAGGATAGAGTGATAGAGTAATGGGGGGAATACTGACTTTAGGTAGCACCTTCTGAAGAAGTCTCACCAAGAAAAGGGTGGTATGTGCAGGAATAGAGACAGGTGGGTCACAGAGATTTTAGCAAGAACCAGAGATGAACACACTTGATGTTGTCAAAAAGTAGAACAGTGTCAGGGGAAGATAGATAGGAAATGCCTTGGAAAGGCAGCTGCAGCTAGGCAGGACTTGGACTCCATCTAAGAGTTTGCATCTCCTAACAGACCTGTGAGGGGTTTAAAGGGACAAGGATGAAACTAGGGGAACCCATTTAGAGACTACAGAATGAAGCCCTGTACTTATCTGTCCACTGTCTCTGTGAAAGCTATGTACTTATGTATCAGCTTCCTTACTGGAAAGGCCTTAGGAGCAAGAGCTTTCTGGTTTTCCTTACTGTATTCCTGGCATCTGCCACACTTCCCAGTGTGTACTATGAGTTGAGTGTTTTTATGGTAAATTTGATTGAATTAACATTTAATCTTCACAAGACTCTATAAAGTAGGTACCCTTATTATATAGATATAGAGAGATATAGATGATAGGTATAGATAGATACAGATATAGATATCCTGAGAGGTAAGAAGACCTGCCCAGTGTATGAAAGCTAAAACCCTCATAAAGGTGTGTTTCAGAACAAACATTAACTCAAACATTCACTCACTGTGTTGATTTAGTCCATAAGTAGTAGCACAGACACACAGCTCCACATTCTCTCGGGCTTTTTCATTCATAGATGAGGCTTCCATGTTACAGAAGGTCACTTGAAGAAAATGGTCTAGACATGGGGTCATTTGTTTCCCATCATCCAATGTTCTAATCCAGACTGGCTTGACAACTTTCTGACCTTCTGTCATGAGGTGGCTGATAAGTGCATCATAAAACTATTACTATAAGCATCACTTCTTTTTCTTCAATAGAAAAAAAAAAGAATAACAAAGCTAGTATAGTTAATATTACTCCATATTACATATGCCCAAAGATAACTGAAAGTTAAGACTCAAATGTAATATGTTAACACATTATCTTAGAAAACATTCAATTCAGGAGGGTTTTTCTGCCTAGAAGGAATATATCAAGTTCAGATTAAATAATCATTGACCAACACAGTCCTTCATGTTAACAATGCTTCATGTTAACAATGAGGAAATATTAGGAAGCATGTTTAGGAATTTCTGCATGGGGTTAAGTTAGTGAGCTGCAGGTATTAGTCTGGTAGGTGAACTTGATTAAAGGATAAAAGATTGCTTTGGAGAGTAACCAGCTAGATCATAAGATCAGAGGTTTTCAAGTGTTTTTGACCATGACTCACTGGGAAAATACATGAGTAACACAATGGGCCAACACACATATATGTGCATACAGGGAGTGATCAAAAATGTGGTGAATGTTTAATGTTTTTGTTTTTTGATACAGGGTTTTGCCTTGTAGTGCAGGCTGGCCTGGAACTCAGAAATCCTCCTGCCTGTGAATGTTTAAATTTTAAAAGAACTTGTTACAGTAAAAGACGCATTGCTAAGAATGATGGAAAAGTGTATTAAATGGGAAAGGGAGCACCATATTTTGAGGGTGGCTAGTAACAATGTGTCTTTTACTGTAATATTTTTTAAATGCAAACATTCACTGTATTTTTATCACTCATGTATTGAAAGATGTTTCGTAGTATTTACTCTTACTCTATGGGATGCACTCTTATACATTCTCTACACTTTTAAAACTCCTGGCGACAACCACTAAGTGCTCTTATGACTTACTAATGGAGAGCAGCCACTCAGTTAATTCGGTAATTTCGAACTTCATTATGCATATGAATAATCTGAAGATTTTATGGAAACAAAACTTCTGATTCAAAAAATATGTGATTCAGATTTTAACAAGATCCTAGGGATGTCAGTGCTGCTATTCTGTGAGTCAAACTCTAAGTAGGAAAAGCTCTCATCTCTCCAGCAGAGTATCAGACATGCTTGGGACAAAACAGATTAACCTAGAGCTCTTAAGTAGAGCCAGGAATCCCAGTATGGCTATTCTATCTCAATTTTTCAGGCCTTTGCATCTGCCACTTTTAAAAAAGGATTGTCATTATCCCTCTGTCCATGGGTTCTGCATCCATAGATTCAGCCAAGTGCAGCTCAAAAACATTTGAAAAAAAAAATTGCATCTGTACTGAACATGTGCGGACTTATTTGCTTGCCCTCTAAACAATTTGTAACACCTATTTACATACCATTTATGTTGTTCTAGTTAATAA